AGAACAAATTTATTGCATATTTCTTAAAACAGAAGACCTCCACTGAGGGCTGGCTGTTCAGCCCTGGCTGTCCTGGTCCTTTCTCCATCTCTCAGACACCACATCCCCAGCAGCTGGGGTACCTCCTCAAAGCCATCACCAATGGTCCAAGTGCCAGTCCATTGCCTGAGATCCACCCAGATATCCATTTAATCCTCTAAGGAAGAGTCCGTGTGACATTTCTCAGAGATTTTGCCATTTAAAAAAATCAAGAACGGACAAGCCCAAACCAAGAAACAGAATACTCAATCTCCCATTTGGCTTTTTTTTATGGTCCCTTGCAGTTCAGCCTCGGGCTGAAGCTCTGTCCCTTCACTAGCTGACAAAATTCCCCAAACTTTCCTGTACCTGACAAGACCTGCCCTCATAAGTTATTTTCCACCACTTGTCAGAAGTTAGTGACAAATCTTCCTTCCCCACAAGCCTTCTCTCACAGCTGCCAGCTGCTCTTTTCCTTGGCTGGACACCAAATTTACCCACTTAGGTACTGCTGTTCACAGGTGTGACAAGGGTTTATCAAGTCCCATCAGGCCTGAAGCAACCTCAGGGAATTCAGCTCCTGTTTTTCACCTCTTCCCTCTCTCTCATCCCTGTTGAGAAAAGTTTTCTTTGGCAGTGGCATGGAGAACATAACATTAAATCTGTGCCCACAGGGATGAGGTGAGCAAGAAGAAAATGGGGGCCACACTGGAGAAGTTGGAGGACTGCTAATTGAAGGGTTTCTGGACACAGGGATTTTAGATTAATGCTGTATTCAAGGTTAGCTTTTAATAATTTATCACAAGGGAAAGGAAAAGCCCTTTGAGGCTTCAGTTTCTGTCCCCTCCACTTTTGTTCTTCCCCAGGAGAATCAGATTTTGTGGTTCTTTGTAGCTCATTGCACTGGCCTTGTCTTCCTTTGCAGTGAGCTGGGAAGGTTTTCCTAGCTCCTTGCACGTGGGGATGGTCATTTGTGGAGGGTGAAAAGATGTTTACTGTCTTTGATGGATTACCCGCCCCCCAGAGACAGCAGTAGCAGCATTCTCCTAATTGTTAAAGCCGTCATCTGATACCAGCTGGCTTTCCCAAGCACCAACCAGCCACGCTCTGCAAGTGACTGAGCAAACAAAACAGTTTCATATGGTTGGTCCCCAGAGTGACAAATCTGCCCCTTTGTGCCATCACGCAGCAGGAGGGAGTTGGAAGTTACAAACATGTAGGTGGCTTCCACCTACGCCAAGAGAGAAGGGGAAATGCCAGTCTGCCCCTGGAATGATTAATCCTGCAAATGAACCAGCATTTGCTTCATCCTAAACAGGGATGAGTTTTCTTTAATTAACATTGATTTCCATTAAAGCTGATGGCTCAGATTAGACCTGAGAGCTCATTCACCAACTCGCTTGTCTCTGTGGAAGCGACCAGATGGAACATTTGTGCCACTCTGAAGGACTGAAGAGGCCTCAAAGATCTGCAAAGGGCTGGCACATGGACTAAGGTCTGCAAAAATAGTTTCTGCACTGAATTTTAGGTGCTTACCTCACTGAAATCTTCCCGTGAACCTCACAGAAACTACTAAAGTCTTTCCAGGCAGCTGAGATTTGAGAATCACAAAACTGTCAGGCCTTTCAGTCTGGATCCAGCTCAGTGTTTTTATAGTGCCCTCTCACATCACTGATGCAGGTGTGACAAAGCACATCTGCCTCAGGGGAAGTGCTTTCATATCCAGCCTTCTTTGGTACCAAATCCTGTAACTCCTCTTGGGTCCCAGGGGCTACACCAGGAGTAGCCTTAAAACACAGAAATGAATCGGAAGAGATTGGAGCTGCAGAGAAATTGAGGAGATGGAAGGAGGTGAGTATGCATGAAAATAAAAAAGCAGTAGGAATTGCAATAGGTAAAGAAAGACCCACATTTGATTAGCAGGCACACTCCCAGTGAAGTAATTGGGAATTAATCTGAGCCGTTGCATATCTTCACCCTTAATCTTGCAAAAGAGAAGAAGAATGAAGTTTGAATTGAAAGAAAAAAAAGCTGCCACAAAAAACCCTACCACCAGCATTTGATCATACTTTGGACAATTGATGAAAATATTTCCTTCTGAATTATCAAAACAAGAGCACAGAGCAAGAAATAATCTCAAAATGAAATGATACTGAAGATTAGCGTGGTGTCTCTGGGTGGCAACACGATGATCTAGCCAAGTCACTGTACCCCAGATGAGAGCGACAGAGTTTAGCCAAATGCTGCAAGAAAAGACTTGTCAGGGCAGAACATCTTGTTTTGTTAGAAAATGTGGTCTTTACAAAGTATGAGGAAAAGAAAGCACAAGATTTGAGGTGGAGTTTTAGATATCTCATCTTACAGAGTACTGGGATGCAGAAGCCTCTGCTGCACAGTGACATCTTTAGCATTGGTTCATGGGGATGAGTATCTTTAGGGTAGGAAATTACCCTGGTATCTTTCTGGATGTCTGGTTACTGAAGCATGTCTAACAAACTAATATCTGAGTGAAAAAACATTGGATTCAACTCAGAAGGAAATCAGCAGGAATTCATGTGAGAAAGTCTTTGTATTTCTTGCTAAATAACACACACACAAAAAAGGATCAAACTTCTTCAGCAGCTTTCTGTGGTAATTTTTACATCACTTTCTACTGGCAAATGCTATAAATTATATTCATTCCAGTGTAAGACACAGAATAATAAATTTCTTTCAAATGCTTCATGTAACTAGGAGAGATGAGACAAAAGGAAGCTGTATTTTGGTATCTGTCTCAGGCAACTGTCACCAATTAACTTAGTCCCTTCATGACTTGATTCCCTTATCATCACAACTTCTCAGTGAGGGCAGACTGTGCTGCTCTCCATTCCAAGGACCCCCAAGGAACCATGGCAGAGAGACAAGGGGCTCTTTGCATTTCCCATTCTGATTCCCACCAGGTTAAAGTCATGGCAAAGTAGTACTCAGAACTGCAAAAATAAAAAAAACAAACAAACACCTCCTCATCTCTGTAAGGCAAGAAAACAGCAGGGTGCAGTCTGAATTCTACTGAAATAGCTCAAAGTTGAACTCCCCTGCTCTCCAAGTCAGTGACTTTATGCTGCCTTGCTTAACCAAGACAGGTCCAAGGTTAGGGTCACACGTGAATCCAAACACAGAGTTTCAGGTCTGCTTTGGTATATTTGAACTGGCTGATCTATTTCAGTGTTTTAGAAAGAGCTGGTCCTCTCAGTTCTGGCAGGAAAAGAAATAGCTTCCAAAGGTTTCCTCCCTTTATGTAAATAAGCTGCAGCAGCTGATGGAAGCAGCATGATTGCAACTCTATTTAATTTCAGTAGATGTAATACATGTCCCTGTTGGTTATTCAAAGTACATATAGTGCTGTATGCACCTGGCAGAGTAAGAGCAGGATCTATGATTATTAGTCCCCAGATACATGCCTAGTTCAGTCATTTGCCCAGTTATATTACCTGGATCTTTGCTTGAATGAAGAAGAGTATGGCTTTGGCTTTGTTCATTCATTCATTCTTCATTCACTTCTTGGTGTTCAAGCAAATCAAATCCTTGGTATGTGCTTGCACAGGCACAACAGGTTTTAAATTAACTCATCTGAGTGTATCAGATCCAGGCCAAATACGTTAATTCCATGATCAACAAAAATGGAATAGAATTATCCCTGTATTCAGCACTGGTGAGGCCACACCTAGAATATTTGGCTCAGTTTTGGACCCCTCACTACAAGAAAGATACTGGGACACTGGAAGATGTCCAGAGAAGGGAAACAAAGCTGGTAAAGGAGAACAAGTCTTAAGAGAGGTGTCTGAGGGGGCTGGGGTTGTTTAGCCTAGAGAAAAGGAGGCTCAGGGGTGACCTTATCACCCTCCACAACTGTCTGGAAGGAGGGTGTAACCAAATGGGGTCAGCCTCTTCTCCCAGCTAACAAGTGACAGGACAGGTGGACATCGCCTCAAATTGTGCCAGGGAAGGTTTAGACTGGATATTAAGGAAAAATTACTCTCAGAAAGCATTGAAACAGGCTACCCAGAGAAGCAGCAGAGTTCACCATCTTTGAAAGTGCTCTAAAATTGTGTGGATATGGCACTTGAGAAAACGGTTCTGTGGTGAACTTGATGGTGGTGCTGGGATAACAGCTGGGACTTGATGATCCTAGAGGTCTTTCCCAACCTTTACAATTCTATGATTCTACCCTTGGGTCACCATGTTCTATCAACTCCAGCCCCTCTGAAATTCAGAGCTGACAAATCAACTGGTGATCACAAATCATACTATACAGGAGAATAGTCACACACATAATATACACAAATAATAAATAAACAAATAAAATCAATCAATCAAGGCAGGAAGAAAAAGCTAGGCTTATGTAGAAGGTGAGATTTGCCTTAATAAGAAACCAACTGTATAATTACACCAAACCACAAAAATACTTCCCATAAATTAATCACTCTTTACAGAAATATGTGTTACCATTACATTCAAGTGGTTTGCATTATTTATTTTAATGATATATCCAATTAAAAAAAAAAATAAAAATTAATGCCTCATTTCATTTGCCCACAGAGCGCCCATGAAGAGGGTGAATGTTTCCATTTTCTTTTCGCAGCATGTCATTATGCTGATTCAGGAGGCACAGACTCACTTTGCCAAAGGTCTCAGAAGATAAAGGGTTACAGTGGCTGCTGCTCCAAGCTGGCAGTCTGTCAGTGAGAGAACTCAGGAATGGGTTCCCAGTCACACATAACAGTTGTTTTAATTAGGTTCTCCCCTTTCCCCAAGAATTGTCCAGCTCGTCCAGAAAAGGCCATTTTGCTTGTGATAACCTCATGAAAATAATCTCAGCTTCCATAGCATCATTTCTCCCTCACTCCTGGGAAAAGGTCAGGGTAAGAAATATAATAGGAAAACTGTTCCCAGAGCATTCCCACTGCTGGGTCACTGAGTTTCATAGTCCATGCTAGCTGACTTCTCTTGTGATGAGTAATGGTTTGGAGATGTCACTGCAACAATGATCTACACTTAAGGCATGGCTTGCTGCAGACATGATTTATTCTTCCAGAATCACCTTGTTATTATTGCAATTAAATTGTTCCTTCCCTACAAACACAGCGGTAGTGGCAGATTTTCTGTGAGCATTTCTGTAGGCAATCTTAGCATAACAAAAGGACATTCATTCAAGAGCTGCGTGTTTCCATCAGGCTTTAATCTCCTGAAAACAAATTTTCAAAGCATATTTCCAGCACAGCTCTCTTTAACCAGACAGTTGCTAGGGGAAGTAAAAGGCCTTCACAGGTAAGTCAGCAGTTATTCACAGGATCTGACATTCACTTCTTTTAAAGCAAAGCGTTTGACTCTTTGAGTCACATAAAATATTTTTGATTGGAAAAATAAATTAGGAAAAAAAGCCTCCAAAAGCAAAATAAAATAAATAATAAAAGTAAAATCCAAAGAGAAGCCCAAGGGGAACTGAAATCACAGCCTCTCTCACAACTCTGCTCAGAGCTGGCCTTACTCCATTCCTTTTCCCAGACTATTGCCACTGTGAACCAGGCAAAATCTGTTCCTCCTCTTCCATGGAGCTGAGGTCTCTGCCAGCTTTGCTACCTGAACTTAATTTTTCTGTGGCCAAATAAGTGCCAGAGCTGGTAAAAGGAAAGCTGCAGGACCATGCAGGGGTTGAGGGAAGAACATTCCCTTCCCTGCCTGGCAGCTGTTAGGTCACTGATGGGAAACTGCACTCCAAAGTGCCCTCCACATGTTCCTACCCTTCTCTCTCTCCAGGGCCCTACTCAACTAGCTTAGCCAGGAACTGGGCTCAGCTGGCTCCAAGCAGCTCCCCAGCTGAAAACCAGTTACCTGGAGAGGTCTTCAATGATGCTCTTCCAAGTCCACCTCTCTGTGTTCCTTATGTGCTCAGCCCTAATCATGAATTTATGCCCTTGTGCCTCATGACCCTTTTTTGTTAATATTAAAAGGCCACTTGTTCATGGATATTTCCTAACATGATGATGGCCATATTCTAGTGTGACACTGTATTGTAACCCCTGACATCATGCTGGAGTCTACAGCAACCTGCAAACAGGAGCCCAGAACTGCCTGGCTCCTCCTTTTCTTGGGAAAGAGGAATTTCCCGGCCATTTCCCCTGTTTGTGGTGGTTATGGGATGTAGCTGGAGTAAAAACCACACTTGTTGCAGAGCTGCTCTAATAGGGACCTTTCTATCTGTTTTCCCTACTTGAGTAAATCAAGTAACAAAGGAGTCATAACCTTTTCCAGATGGACAAAGGTCACCAATGCTCCAGGGTCACAGCCAGTTCTGCTTTCTGAATGTATGATCTCTTCCTTGGAAGTCTGACACAGCTCTATAAAACAGAGGAATTGGTTCTATACTTCTGTAGCATAAGAGGTTAACTAATGTTTACAAGGTTCTTTGAGACTAAATGTGATATATGTGTAAATTTTATTATTTTAATAGACCTTCACGTTGTACTTCACATTGCTATTTAGTAATATTATTTTTTCTAGGCTATTTTCAGCGGCATTTTTCATACATAACTTGAATTTATTCTCCCTTCACCTATTTAAATCATTGCTACAGGAAAGGCTGAGGGCTTAATAAGAAATTTGAATGGTACCTGTGTATTTTATCTCAGGTGGCAGATCTGACACCTCTGAATTAGTGCAGTGCTTTGTATTACAGTCTGCTAGCAAGGTCTGTGAGGTTTTGTCAGATCTCATAAACCAAACAAGGTGGATCCTTGGATGGAAACCTTAGCAGAACACCCACATGCCACGTGAAGTAATATTTCACCTTCTGAATCATCAGTCTTGCCCCTGAGTCATTTCTACAGCAGGAGTTCAGCTAGGTGGCTGAGGTTCTTTGCTAAGAGTTATTATAGTTACTACCATTCAAAATACATGCAGAGGGAGTCCTTGGCATCTGTGGTCATTAAGGAGCTCAGAATTATTACCCCACAAAGAACAAAGGTATTTAGGTATATCGGTATTTTTCACAGGTAGCAGGCAGTACTTTATTTTAGAAAATCCTGCCAGCAATTTCACTTGGATTCAGTAATTTTGTCATTTTGTCTGCCTGCAACAATACCAAACCTACGAGGTCCCAGGCACTCAGGAATAACTGCTCTCACAAGAGAACCAAATGCAGACCCATCCAGCAGCCTCCTGGAATTTCTAGAGGATGTGGAAGGGAGCTGCAGGTGCCTGATACACCTCTGAGCCTGGCCCCACAGGAGTGGGAGTTCTGGAAGCAGCTGAGCACTGCAGAACGCTCTGAGCTCACTTGTACACTTGCACATCTAAAGGAGCGCTGATGCATCCAGTGCTCGGTCTCTCTGCACGCGCTCCTGGCGTGCCCAGGGTTTGAAGACGTGATGCATTCTGAAAATGGGCTGAGTCCTTGGGGCCCCTGCTCTTAGCAGAGAGGTGTGCTTGAGCTGCCAAATCACAACATGTGCAATTTCATGTCTGGATCTCAAAAACACCCACACAACACCCTTTTGCACCTGGAATCTGCGTTTAAGAATCATCTTTATTTTTCCACGTTATTGTCTTAAATCCTAGTTGCCTAGTCCTAGTTGCCTTTGTTGCTTTACAAAACTAATGCAAAATTCAGCCACAAATACTAATCTATTTGCTTTAGAATAACAAATGGTAGCCTTCTCTAAGTGTTTCTGTAAGCCCTAAAGACATGTTCTCCCTGGTCCATTCAACCCTTTGATGGGAAGAATTACATTTTCCTGTACAGAGACATTTATAATTTATTTTTAATTTGTATGTATGGTACAGTTTTGTCTGGGGAGCTTGCTTCTGCAGCTCATGTAATTTAATATTTCAGGAAGATTAGGATAAAAAATGGCTTGTAAAAACTCTATGAAAACTTCATTACTTAGCTCTCTTTCTAACCATGAACGTTAACCCAGGCTTCTTGCTTGCCTCTCATAGGTACAATGGCTTTTTTTTGTTTTGTTTTTGATTCTACAAAGGACCTTCCCTTATTGACTTGTTACTTTCCTCAGTGACAGGTACTTGACCTTTTTCAGGTGTGAGAGCGTATCAGCGTAGATGTAAAACATAAGATATTTCTTCAGCAAAAATTGGTGATCAAAACCACACTTGGAATAGTGACTGCTTATTTATCATACTTTCCCTGAAGAGCCTCAAAGTGTTATCAGTAAAAAGCCTGAGAAAGCTGTGTTGTCAAAAACTTGTGAGACTGAGAAAACATAATTGCTTCGTTATGTAAGAACGGCTTTTGTAGCTTCTGTTGCCTTGCTATCTAACAGAGACAATGCTTGTGGTTTTAGCTTCTCAGCTCAGCTTTGGCACTATGAATTGTTCACCAAAATATTTTTATTTACTTTTGTACCCATATGACTTGAATGGTGTCATCAGACGAATGTTTGGTATCACACCAAGGGGTTTAAAAGTTACCGAGCCCAAACCAGAGATCCCCACAGTGCTGCAACAAAGAGTAACCAGCTGCATGCACACACATCCTCTGTTCCAACATGACAGCAGTGAGTACAAGTAAGGCACTTTCAGCAGATCACTACAAAAATCAGGAGTGTGTCATGAACAGTTGCTGCCAGAATAAGCTAGGAGCAGGGATAGTAATTTTTCATCCATGTGATCATACCCAAACGATGCCTCTTTCAGCCAAACATGGTCTTGGGATTGACAGAAAGGAAATTTAGGTATATCTTGCAGGTTTATACCAAAATTAGATGCATACTGACTTAAACTGTTTGGGAATTATTACTAGCCTCTATCCTGTCTATGTACTTAGAACGAGGCACCCAAATCTTAGCGGTTCCCTAGAAATTAATAGGATAATAATAATGTTTTGGCTTCTAAAGATCTGTTGGTCCCAAGCTGAGAAGAAGAAGTTGCCAGCTCACATGTCTGCATGAGTCTGGAGTGAAAAATAACGAGGATGATGGCTCACCATCTGTTCAGCAATTGATATGGAGAGGTTGGAGATCTCAGCCCAGTTCTTAGCAGATGTCTTTCCGCAGCTTCCATGCCCACCGAGGACGTGCTCACCCATATGCACTCAGCTGTCTGGAGAAGACTCAACACCAGCACTGCCTACACATTGCTCTTCCACATGCACATCCAAGTCCTTCCTTGGAGGGGCAAATTCAATTTCCAGCTGCCTGAATCCCAAGTCCTGCTGACACAAGGAAGAGCATTGCAGCAATTTGGCTCAAACTTGAGCCACAGAGCAGGTTGTTCCAGGCTCCCACTGACATGTGTTACACCCCTTTAACTATGCCCGTGACAAGGCACTAACAGGGAGAGCTCTCTAATATGTTGTTCCCATTCTAACAACCTATTAACACCACAGATGAGAATTTTCCTGCTGGATGCATTCTCTCATTCCAGTTACGTGTTCCTTTGCCGCATCTGTAAGCTGCACCAACTTTTGAAACACTTCAATTTCACTTTAGAAAGAGAGTGCACCTGCAAATCTTAGATCCTGCAGGGGTCTGCATTCAGAGCTTCACCAGTCTGCTGTCTACAGCAAATTGAAAAAAAAGGCTGTTAATTTAAAACTACAGCACAGGATATGCCTTCCAGATGAGTTACTTCATATTTGATTGAGCATTTGCTTTTCTCACCTACAAGGTTTTGATTGCCACTAATCTTCCTGGAAGTAGTGTCCTGGATAAAACTGGCTCAGACTTCAGCACTGACTTTATGCAGTCAAAGGCTTCACAGGAAAACTCTGTGCTGGGAGGTGTGCTCACAAACACAGATACTTTTTCCCTGGACTAATTAAACAGGCAGATGAAGCTCCCACCTTTGGTCTTCCAGCCTTGGGGAGATCAGGAGGCCTATGCAGAGGTCCCTGGGGGAACCTGCTCCTGTTCTCGCTGGAAATACTGAGAGGGGAGGTGGCTTTATCCTCCCTTGTCACAGCCAGCCTAGAGGTGTGTGCAGTGGGGAAATGGCTCATCTTTGCCTGATGAGTGAACAGGAGAGAACCAAGGGATGGTGAGGGAAGAGGAGAAAAAATTGGCAATATATCCCGTTTCTGAACAGAGAGGCAGCTTGTATATGACCAGGAAGAGATAAGTCAAACTGTGGAAAGAGGTAAGATGGAGAATGAATGGGAAGCACTGCTGCCCTTGAGTTACAGACTCTGGCTGGGGAACACAAGCAGCTCCTCTTCTTTGAGCACCCTGTGGGCGTCACTAACAACAGACACATCTCAGGATTTACATCATCTACCCTTTTCTTTCCCTCAGATATGAAATTGGATCCTATTAGTCTTGAAAAATGCACTGAGAAAAACTGGAAGTTCACGAGTTGCTGGCAGCTCATGGCTGGAGACATATCCTGAAGAATCACTATTGATTTTCTGTGTTCTCCTACTCACCCCTAGGCATAATTTCTTGGCCACTGCCCAGGGACAGGATGCTGAGCCAGATGGACTTTTACTCTGAGCAAATGTGGCCTTTCTGATGTTCCCATGTAAAGTATGACAAACTGTTACTTACAAAAAGCAGTAAAATTTTTGATTTACTGCTGACAAAAACATCAGTTTAATATCCATTATCTCCACCCTTAAAAGTCCTGGTACATGCTTCTTATTTTGTAATGAAAACAGGACTCAATAAAAGCAAAAATACTCAGACAGGTTTTTTACACTAGCTGCTTCATCAGCTGTTGCTTCTAAATTTTCTGATTCTTTTCTAGTTTTTAAGATTAACACCACAAGGAAAGGTAAACTGATACTGCATTGAACAGCCACCAGAAGAACAATTCTTGTAAACCTCTATGAAAAGTTTGGAGAACAGCCTGGTCAACAATTTGTTCTTTGCTTTGAAGACACTGAAAAATTTTTAAGTTTTATTTGGCTTCTGTGTAAGGTCCTCCCCACAGAAAGCCACATCATTTCCTGAGTTTACCCAGATAAAGTTTTGAGCAGAGCTTTCTTTCCATTACGAGAGCAAACCTGATCCTGCAAAAGCAAGCATAATCCTCTCTGCATTACTATTAACTGCACTTTAGAGTACTTGTAGAAACACATTCTCCTAGCCAGGCAGTCACAGTAGAAGCAGCTGTGGGTCATGTCAAGTACTGCTGGAGAGATAAATTAATTTTATCTTGTAAAATATTTCAGAAGACCATCACAACTCCCAATTAAAAAAAAAAATAGCACTTTTGGTTTTGGGGACTGAGCCAATTAATATTTAAAAAGCAGATGGGTCTCAGCTTGGTCCTTTTAATGTAACTTGGAATTACTCTGTTGAGCAAATGCCTTATAACTTTTTGGGTGTTTGCTTAGAAATGGCATTTAGTTCAAACACTGGTTCAGTATCTGTACTTTAAAGGGTCAAGTGGAGCTGCTGAATTTAAAAGAGAAGGAAACTCAAATGCTTCATTTGGTCATTTAGAAGAGGTGGAACTTAGAGAAGAATAAGACTAGAGTGGTAAGTAAGACTCGGGAACGTGGCAGAGACAGCACAGCTCGTGCACTGATGCAAACAAAGAGGTACTGATGTGCAAAGCATTGCTCACATTTCTGAGTCGTGTCAGAACGAGATCTTCTGGCTCCTGAGTTATCTGTAAGGACAAGGTGAAGAGCATTTCACAGAATCAGTTAGTTTGGAAAGACCTCTGAGATAAATCCAGCCTATGACCAAACACCACCTGGCCGACTAGACCATTGCCCTGAGCCCTTTTCTTAAAGGCCTCCAGGGATGGTGACTGTACCACCTGTGCTGTTGAAGAAATACTCTTTTGAACTGTTATCCTGTGAAATTCACTTTGTGCCATTAGAGTAATTAATCTGCCCTAGAGGAGGTTCCTGGATGGAGAGTTGAATTCAGCTTTTAAGTGCACATAGTCATGATCCAGCGTTCCAATTCAATCTCAAACCTAGTTTAGCATGACAGTGGGCAGAAATCTTCAATTGTTTCAGAGCATCCAAGTGAGAAACCCGAACCCCTGACAGTGGTGCAGCATTGCTCACTCAGAAGTGGGTCAATGCACAGAGGCCTTGCAGCAGAGACCTTTGTGTTCCTTACAGTGAGCCTCCCTTACACTGCCCAGATATTTCTGGCTAAGTACAGATTTCAGAACTCATCTTTACATGAAAAGAAATAAATTTACATGAAAAGGATAATTTCCATCCTGATATAAATACCAGCTGCAAGTCAGTTTTCAACCTCACTGAGAGATTCAGTTATGATGCTGCAGTTCCCCTTTGCTCATGACAACGCTGTGGAAAACACTGGCCTCACCTTCTCCATGCTGCCTGAGCAATACAATAAACACAGAATGTTTTGACAGCATCTCCTCTGAACTCTGGAAACAGAGTTTGCTGGAAACACCTTAAAAAGCAAGTTGGAATTCTGAGTTTACAGAAGGAATTCTTGCTCAGTTTATCTGTTCTACGTGCTTTTGTAAATCTTATCTTTACTAATGAAGCAGCAAGCACAGGGGAATGAGCTGGATTTTGTCCTGTCTCTGGCACTACCAGCAGAACTGTCAGCTCAGCACTATTTGTAGATTTTCTCTTGCTTGGCTGATGTGAGGGACAGAGCACGCTTCTCAGGCAGAGGAAGAGTCCATGGGTCAGATTCTCTGCTGCAATACAGACTCAGGGATTTCAAAGCAAATGTTATGGCACAGTCATGCTTCAAAAGTAATGGTGAGCTTCTGTACTCTTTCAACTCAATGTTTTTCAGAGTAACTCCTCAATTTTTAAATTTTAAAAGATAAATGCCAGGGCTGTGGAGCCAAATTTCTCACTAACGTAGCCTGAAGCAGCATCAATTTATATATACTACAGGAGATCAATCTCTTTTCAAAGAGTCCTGCTGATTTTTATCTATTATTTTCTTTTAGGCTTCTTACAGAATTATTTTTAGTTAGCATTTAAATGGAATTTCCTGTTCTCTGGAGGAAACCCAGTCTGACAAAAGGCTGTCAGGATCCTACCTAGCACCTTCTCAGTACAGGGATCAAGCTGGCTGCATTTTGGAAGTAGTTACTGATTTCATTAAAGAACCTTATGGAGCCCTAGCAGGCCTGCCAGTTGACTACATGCTTTCAGACATTTTTGACAAATAAAGTTTGATTTTTAGTTCCTCTGGCAGATTTTCCCATTGTCAGCTTCTTATGACACACAGATCACTACTGATCACAGATTAGGAACTTTTCTTTTGAAGGTTCATACACATACATCCCTTCTCTCCTTTCCAGTACATTAATTTTTGTTAATTTCTCCTTTTAATCCTGATAGGCCAATGGCACCAGCTCTGTGTTTGCTCTCTCTCACTGCTGATTCACAGCACAGTCAGACATGGCAGCACCCTAACACAGGACAATTTACACCCAATATTGGAACAGATATTACAGCATAAGGAGAACTGTAAAAGACTTCTCACCTGTAGCTATTACACAGATCAATTTATACAGGAACATTTCGTGAAGCCAGGCATGAGACAGTCTAAATTAGAGATGCCAAGGGTCAGCCCTCTTCACAATTCAGTGCCCCCTCGGTTACATCTGGAATCAGTGGTGGCTGCAGATATGCTGTAGATGTGTAAGGGTCCCCCAAGAGATATCTGATATGGAAGACAGTCTCTCAGGCTGCCAGTAATTAAGCATTTCCCCTTACAATATAATACCAGTCACCTTAAAAACTTACATTTTGGGGATATTTTGGAAGGAGAGTGGAGGCAGATACACCTTCTGCAGTCATAAGTAAATGTCAACACGTTGAACAGGATATCTGCAGTGTGAGGTTTGTCACAGTGCTCAGAGCTGATTCTGGGTAATTTTTGAAGAGAATTCAGGGTCTGTGTTTGCAGAGAAGGTTGAACTGTAACAGCCAGTGCCAGGATAAACAGCTGAGACTACAACTCTGTTCCAGTTCTGATTTTGCCTTATGGAATACTTCACATCATTCCCAATGCCACTAACAGTCACAAAGAGAGGGTTTACAGCAAAAATGAGAATCCTTTTTCCTTTTACATTTTATGTGTTAATGTGGCATTAAAAAAGAAAAAAAAAACAAGGAAAGATATAAAGGTAAGAAAGAAATAATACCGCCATTCTGAAGACACTTTAATTCAGCATCAACCTGGCAGCTATGAAAAAGAGGGTCTTTGGAAGCTGCCATTATGCTGCCACCACCACCTATAATGTTTCATAATGGCTTTAACACAATGCCTCTCCAGGTATAAAGAAGCAAATGTCACCATTCCCAAGGAAAAAAAAAAAAATTGATATTTTTTCAGGAGGAGGAAGGTTAAGCAGAACATTGGTATTCATGTCCCATCCTCCTTTCTTCACCTCTCCTTTCCCACAATGACTTAGGGTATTTTATATACAAAAAGCCCACTATTTACATTAAGGAAAAAACACAGCCTACCTGCTAGATAGCAAACATACCCCGTATTTCAGAAAAGCAATAATGTAGGAAATGACTTATGTGTGATTCAGTCTTGTGTTCCACCACAATCATCGCTGCAGTGAACACAGTTAGCACAGAGCATCACAGATTTAGCTGCAAAACACAGCTTTTAGGCACAGTGTTGCACACTGAACTCCCCAGGCCCAAGAAATCCATTGGGACAGACCCTCAGAAACCAGCTCTGCAAGAGTTATAATGCAGAGGAGGAAGCTGGGGCTCAGCCATCTGAGTGGCAGAAGCACCAAAGCTCAGCATTGGCCTCTGCTCTTGCAATCTCCCGCTGCTCTGTGGTGCAGCAGCAGGATGGACTGAGCAGGAGGGTCTGGGGTGGCACTGCTGTGCTGTGGCAAGGCACAGGTGAGCCAGGCATGTTCTGGGCTCAGGCAAAGGCAGCAGGTGAGCTGGCCAGCTCACACATTCATTACTACCCATGTTGAAAGCCCCTGTGGGGCACATTAACAGGAAGGGATATGAATGAAGCCCAAGGCTGCACACACCATGCTTTGCGAGAGCCTAGGACACCTTTTTCTCACTGCCATCCCATTGCTGCTAAAAGAATAACCTGTTCATTGGTGGCTGTGTACCAGGTAAGCTGCCTTTCATCGTTTCTCCCCCAGGCTGATATGGTTCATACTTCCCCCCCTCATTTCCCCATCTCCTCTGTGCTGAAGTTCTGCTCTTCTTCTCTGACAAAGGGGACTCACACCCCCAGCAAGCAGTGCCATACCCGTTGGGCCTGCTGTTGCTAAGAGACCAAGTGAGAGAGAGATCCTACCCACTCAGATTCCCCTACAAATCCCAATATTCCTCCTGTTGCTACTCTCCAGCCCTACTGAGATGCTGTTGATGCAACCTTGGTATCCAGCAGATCCGTATGGGTTTTATGGGACATTTTCTCCCACTGACCAGCGCTACTGAGAAAGTCCCAAAATAGGATACTGCAGTAGACAGCATGTCATTAGGGAATTAGCACAGTTATGGATGCAAACTACTCTTGTGGGAAACCACCAAGGCCAGAGGAGGTCAGAGATCTTGCTTAGATCTAAAAGGAACATGTAGATCAATACGGGTTCACAAAAATATCCTTGGAAAGCCAAGCTACAAGTGGGCCATTAGAGCTCACAGCAATGGCACAGCACAAGACTGGACAGCTCTACTGCATAAAGTGCCTCCAAATGTTATTAATTATGATTTTATTTCAGATTGATTTCCTCCCTCCCCCCTAGAATGCAGGGGAGTTTACTCTGACAGTACTTCTGGCAGGAGTCTCTCTCAAGCTTACAGAAAGGCTAGCAAACACCAAATAATAACAAATCTTATTGACAAGGGAAAAATATGGGGTAAGTTTTAAAAACTCTCCTGAAGTACTGTCATGTTGCTAGGCTGACAGAGCTATCAAATCACTTCAGTCCCTGACAGTAGTGACAGACTTCTGCAGACTCGTAATAGTTCACAATTTCAAGGCCTGTTTGCTGCTTGTGTCTTTCAGGCACACCAGCTGCAACTTGCTGGATTCTTAATCCTCCATTGAACTGGAGACACTGATGAGTATGTATGGAGAGAGTTCAACCATCACACCAAAGCCATGGAAATATGCCAGTGAGCATATTTTGAGACACAGTCTCAATAGTTTGACATTATTGATCAAAGGTGTATCCACGATACCTTTGTACGTGCACAGAAATCGCTTAGGTTGGAAAGCTTTCCCAGCTGAACAGGAGGAATAAGGACAGTAGGATATGGAGACGGAGAGAAGACTAAAGAAAAAAAAGAAAAAGAAAAGATTCAAGGTTATGAACTGGCCAAAGAGCTCCAGATTAATTTTACAGACAGAGTAGAGCTTGGGGTACAGCAGCAAAACAACTTCTGAAGTACTCATGGGAATGCTGTTAATAAATAAAAGGAGCAAAGAGATTTGGGACCAGTCTGTAGGAAACTGGGAAAATACAAGCTTTTACAAATTTAACTTTCCCCTCATAAGAAAGACAAATAGATGGACATCACCCTAAGAAAGGCACAACTAGATGGCAAACTACCCATCTGCTCATGCCTTTGTCAACAGGGCTGAAGAGATCACCTCTCTTCATATAGGTATTTATGCAAAGTGATCAAATCTTCTGTTGATCTTCCCACAGAGACATGTTTTCCACACTTAGATAATTTGAAAGCGATTTTAAGGACTTCTAGTATTAAAGAAATCTGTTTTAGAAATGAAAATAACACCCCAAAATTTACAACAGCGAGTACTCCTTTTCTGTGTGCTGGAAGGCAGTTTGGGATCAAAATCCCATGCAGACTACTGAGGTGAACAGAAACCTCTGGAGACAAAAATCAGAAGTGTAAAGTAAACTGATGGGAAAAGCAGCAAGTGGAGGCTGGCAGAACTACTTCTCCCTCTGACAAAGAAGAATTACAGAGAGCTGAGAACATGGCATTTGAGGGGACAGCTCTTCCACAAAGTAGAAAGGTAAATTATATACAGAAGGAGCAGACATGGATAAAACAAGTTTTCTCTGCAATGTTTACAAGGGATGGGGAACGTGGAGAAGATGCCAAGAGCAGCCATACATTTTCAGGAAGAAAGCAGAAATAGTCAGAAATTGAGATAGTGCCAGAAATAGTTATAAAATTTTTTAGAATGCCACAAGGCTGACAAAACATCAGGGCCAGATGGGATCTGTCTCAGAAAAATCAAGCAATTAACTAAAAAAAATTAAAAATAAAAGGAAAAAAAACTCAAACAAAAAATACAAAAAAATACAGCAGCATATGAATCAAAGGAGTGAGGTCCATCATGCTTCACCCCTGTCACTTTCACGTGGACAACTGAGTGAAATAAGCCCTGCCTGAGCTCAGTAAAAGCCATGCTGAATGTGCCACAGGAAAGTAAAACTCCTGTAAAAGTAAAAGCTTCTTACAGGGACAAACTTCAGAGTTGCAGCCCTTTGCAGCCCCTTGCAAGGTGTCCATCTCAAAAAGCAGCAAACACCTTTGGGGAAAGCTGCTGTCCACAGCACTTGGTGTTGCTGCTGAGTAAGAGGAATGTGGAGACTCTTTCAGGGACGAGAGTGTTAAAAAACAACCAGAGTGACCAGAAATTAGCAGGACCTGGTGGACTGGGGAGATGCTGATGCATGTTGAGGTCTATGAGGGATCCAAAAACCAGGAAAAACCCTACAGCATCACTTCCACAGCAAGAGGACAGACACAGAACAGAGGTGTTAATTAAGGACACGCAGGAACAACTCAGGAAGTTATGACTTCATTAACAATAATGACTAAATGGAGAATTGTACTTAAATCTGTTGAGCATGGATTTTCCAGTTTAATTGGGCATTTGAAATGCTTTTTTAAATGCAGTGAATTCTAACAGAGAAGTCTATTCAACACAGAAGTGCACTGGGGCAAAGTTTCCCAAGCTACCAGAGTGAGGCCTTCACAAGAGGAATGTGCACTGGCCTTGCAGATAAGGCACTGGAGTGCTTGGGCTGAGATCATGTAATTGAATCTCTCAGTCTCTGGTGACATGGCTGGACAGTTCCCTACAACCATATCAATAATAAGTATTCCAGCTGCCTCAGCCAGCATTCCTTCAGAGCCCAGGAGAATCAGATGCTGCAGTGACATTTTTGTCAGCTTTTGTGACGCAGAGCCCAGGGCAGATTTCCTCAGCAAAGAGCCCTAGGCCTCCTCTAGCACAGAAAATCAGTTTGGTATGGAAAGTACCACTGAAAACTGCAATCTCCCTGAAATAAAGTGACTAAGATTGAACTAGGCAGTTTTATTCAAGAGTAGAAAACTGCAGGCTGTCCTCTCACCCTCAGCCTTTGAAAACCAAAAGCAGTTACGACAGTCTTTCCCTGAGCTCACCATAGTCCTCTACCCAGCATCTATCTAGCTGCTACCTCTTTTTGCTTAAGAAATCCAGAAATGGAATAAGTTCCACCATAAACACCCCTTTCAGGGTTTTGGGAATACTTCCTGCTCAGTCCCATTGCACTTGACTCATCTCTTTAAATCAGTGTACCAGGTATAGGCTTCCTGTGGGCGAGAATAACTCACAAGATCAGCAAATGCAACATTAATCCCATTCTAGATTAAAAGGAATTTAAGCAGGTGTTCATCTATGCCAAAAAGCAATTTAAAGTAATCTTCCAGCTCTGGCAGGAGAAATAGAAAAGAAATAGATGAATCTCAGGAAGAAAATAAATATAGCTTAGCAGGCAGTGGTTTACACTGATAACACATTGATAGCACAAGAAGCCTTTTGCAGCTGGGTGAATTGCTAAAACAAATGAACCAGCCTTCCTTCCCACGTGTCCTCACCTGAGACCTCTTACAACAGGACTTTCAGTGCCCATGAACACTGATAATGTCAGCTGCCACTGCCTGAGCAACAGCTTCTGTCACTATTGCCCTCCTGATTCTGACAACCTTCACTTTTACATTCACAACTCTTGCCAACATTAGTTGGGTGCATTAAGCTCACAGTGTGGATTTGCAATTTCTTCTTTTGCTGAACTAGCTTAAAAATACCATTTTCCTCCTATTTTAATTCCTAATAGCTACAGAACATTGCTTCAATCTGTTGTATGTCAGTGCAGCATTTGCAAAACGAGTGAGCACAGTCTCAGAAAATTAAGTCCCCTACTTCCTCATAAGGGAGAAAAAGCTGGCAGCAGAGAAAGTTCATGTTGCAAATGAATACTTCACAGTGCATATCTAAAACTTCTCCCTCTTGAACATGACAAGAGACCTCCCCTTTGGATCACAGGATGACTTCTCACTGAGTCCCATCCCCACTGGAAAGCTTGAAGTCCAGGGGGTTATATCATAAAACCCCCTGAAATTCTTACACATCACTGAGCATCTGTGATCTCAAGAAAACGTTCCTCAGGCAAAACCTTTCATCTGTCTGAACTCCTGCTGAGGAGAACTACACCTTGGAACAGAGCAGAGACCTACTGCTCTCCCACCAAGGGCTGGACAAAACCTTCAGCATGGACCAGAGCCCAGGCAGCCATGCTTTAGAGAACATAAAACATCTTCTATCCCATGAATAGCACTCCCCATCCTGCTGGAAACCCCTGAGCTATCCAGCAGTGCTTACACCCCATCTGATGTGACTGTGTCACAAGAGCTGCTGGTTTCCATCCAATGGAGACTACAGAGTTATGGGCAACTGCAGCAGAAAAGAAACAAAAGAGGAAACAAAGACTGAATGACCCACTCTTCTGGACCTTTAACTAATTTTTGTTATTGGTCCCTCCAGATAAGAGGTAGAACAGTACAAAGAAGAGAACTCTTTTCCACTGTTCCTGTGTTGGTAAATTAGATTTCTCACAGCTGTCAAATAGATGGATATCTTTCCCCAGGATCAAAATTTATGTGTGCTGGTAAACCAGCCTCTGTCACCACCACGATTCAAGCAAATCCCAAGAAAGGGGAGCAGCATATGCTTTTCTGTTTCTCAGCTTTCTGAAAGGGCTGTCTTACGATACATAACATTTAATCCTGTCTGAACTAGCTTTTACTCAGAAGTAAAACATACTATGAAAGGGGCAAAAAATTTGATCCAAGGAGCAATTTCATTTAAGGCAGAGCGTGACAGCTTTGCAGTAGTTTACCTGATAGACTGCTGTGGTTCTCAAGCCACAGAAAATCATTTGCCTCCCTCAGACTTAATCTGAGAGAAACAGACTGCTTGCAAAAAGCTCCCATTTCATCTCATCTCACACTCCTACTAGAAAACATGTCCAAGAATGACCTTAAGGGGGGCAATCCAAGTGTAAAATGAAGGCAATCTCATCTGTCCAAACACTGCCTTAAGTTGTGACATCCTAAAGCCACTAAATCCACTGGGTAATCCATTCCCACTTACCTTTCAGGATTGTTTAATCTTTCAGGCGCCTAAATTTAAAGGTGCTTCATTACATTACAAATTATTTCCCTGTCACATAATTTCAGTTGCCTCCTGCTGCTCATTAGTGCTCCTCTATGAGTAGTAGTATTTCTCTATCACCTGCAGTTCTGCTGTGATTTATTTTAGGCTTTTGAATCCTTCCTATGTCCTTCAGAGTAGCCAGGATGAGAGCACGATGGTAACAGCACTCAGCTTTTAAATTATAGTCTCTGGCAAAATATACTCACTCAGGAAACCAAACACACAGATGCTTGGTTCTACTTTGTATGAAGACTACTAAACCATTAGATGCTTGTCCTCCAAAGAGGGAAAATCAGGAAGGATGCCAAATGGATGAAGATACCTAATTTTCCCTACACGTTTCTCCTAAACTTAACCACAGAAACAGATGCTCATCTTAAGCAGACTTGATCATTCCTGGAAGATTGGAGAAGCTGCCTCTCCACCAGCTGCAACACAGAACTTACATAGCTGTGTAAGGAAACTGGATTTTTTGGGTGAGGCTAACAGTTCTTGAAGGAACAGGGTGTCATCTCAGCCTTGAGCAGCAATTTGGCTGTGTTGGAATAAGGCTGGTACCAAAAGCTATAGGACAAGGATGAAAGAGAAAAATGGATCAGCATGTGGAGACACTGTGTTTGACAATGAGATTCCCCTCAGCAGAAAAGAAGTGGGGGGAAAAAGGAGACTGTATTTTGTGAGGTGTAGGAATAAACTTAGAAAACACAAACATTTTAAGCCAGAAAGCCTTGGGCATTTCCAAGCATGGTAACTGATCTACTGACCCACGGTATGAGAGAACTGAATGATCCAAAGCACTAAATGTCACAAGAGCTAACACATAGAAACTTTGTACTGTCCATACTTACAAAAATTCAATTCCCAGGAGCATCACATAATGCCTGTGATCAGTAATTAGTTCATGTTGGGGAGGATTGCTCAGATCAAAGAATATGATGGAAGTGCACAGATTGCTAAATCAGTAACAAAGTGTTATATTACACTGCAGGGTAGAAAGTTTCACAGAGAAAGGTGCTGTAAAAGTGGGTAGTGAGGTTGCATCAAGAAAAAGAAGAAAAGGGAACTTTTCAATAGTGTAAGACAGTCTCCATAAGCTCAAATGGGAATAGAGACATTCAAGACTCTTAAAAAAATAATCTGCAGCAAAACAAATGACCAGTGCCACAAGATCACCCCCCGTGACACTGGCAGCTGGTGTTTATAGTGTTCCTGATGTGCTTAGAGCCTTCCTGATGGTTTCTCTAAGTGTGTTTATTTCAATGACAGAAGAGAAATGAAGGGAATAAATACAGGTAGCATAGAATTAATAGAGCAAGGACTTCCTTTTCTTTCTTGTAGATTTTTGTGAGTGAAGATAAATTAAGATATGCCTCTAAATTTTATAATTTTTGTCCATTCCCACCCAAAAGACTTAATGACAGGGAAGGACAAAAGAAAGATAAAGACAAAGAACATTATTTCAGTGGCAGAAAATTATCAACCACATATAATTCAGAGCAAAGGACTTCCACTGGACAAGCAGTTAGTGTCAGTGGACAAGCAGGGTAGAAATTTATTCTAGTCAGGTTGCTTTCTTTATCTTACATGATGCAGCTGCCTGACACTACTGATGATTTCAGTAAAGGTTAACATCTTTGTTAACCCAGAATCTCTAGAGATCATTCTAGACATGTTTCCAAATCATTTGTTCAAATGAAGACTGGCATTAAGCTTAAGTCACATTAATTTTAAACAGCAACCCACAACTGAACTGCAGACAGACCCAAATCCAAAGCTGTGATGCAATAATCAATAGATTGAGCTCCAGATTTTCATTCATATCTCACATTTCTTGGAAAACTCTGAATGCAGGAAGACAATCTAGGGACTGGGGTATCTGCTCTACTTTCAGGGCAAGCATGAATGACTCAGAACCAGGTAAGGGAATGTTTGTGCTTGCAGAATTGCCTTGGGCCTGTCCAGAATGTTTCTCTAGTGCCTGTCCTCTTTCCTCAGCTACCTGGTCATTGTTATGATAAGTACAGATTTTCTTGACTATTTTCCCAGTTTCTCTGCTGAGAGAATTTCCTTACTGTGGATTTTCCCTCTCTGAGCAACACAGCTCACACTGGGTGAATTTAGGGGGTGTTACAGAGCCTTGCACAGACACATGGGGCAACATGCAGCAGTCCAAAGCTGTTTGGAGGAAGAACAACTGCATGAACACTGAGCTGAGAAGAGAGAAAACCAGCTACGTGCATTAAAACATGAAGGCTCTTGTGACGAGATCCTCATGTTTCCTAGAAATTACTGCAATTAATTTTGCACGGGCTGTAAGGATGAAGGGATGATGCTTTAACTGAAGCCTGGGAAGGAAGACAGGAGCCAGGGGAACAGATTTGTTCTGGTGTCCTAAGCATTTCTTGGTGACCTTGGTATCATCACATGTTTTCAAGACATAGCAGGACATAGCTGTAAATGCCAATATTAAAAGTCTTAAGAATTACGCTAATAGAAATTTGTGGAAACTAACATTTCCTGTTGTTTTGACACTCATGGAACAGAAGAACAATTAATAAATACGAAGCTACTATTGTTCCCAGTGGAATCAATGCAGGATTTCCACCAGATTGGACACAAATAATCCCTTTTTTTTAAAAAAAAAAGCTAGTAGGAAGTCTTGTGTGTGCAGGATATACCCATGTACTATGTCAGCAATGAGTGTAGCTGTCATTTGCACCAGGAAAAGCTCACTGAGTCACAAACCTGGCCTCATATGACTGTCTGACATTTGTCAGACAAAAGCAATTTATGAGGTCTCAGTATCACGACAGTCGCAAGACTGCATTCTGACACGGGCCACAAGTGGCACTTAAATAAGTCATTCCTCTGCACAGAGGAACATTTGTCTCTGTGAGCACACAGGGCTGTGCCAGCCCCAATTTCAGCTGGTAAGACAGATTTTCTAGTGGCAGACATAACTCTAACCTACTGCACATGAACAAAATTAATTGATCATTTCTGTTAGCAGAGCTCTGTACTCCTTGAGCCTAACTTTCCAGTCATAGTGTGTGGAGCCAGGCTGGATTTACTCTGGTGTTCTGGAGTGCAGACTGCAGGGCTCCTCCTGTCCCTCAGGGATTGTTAGTGAGCAGCAGTTCTGCTTGGCTCCCTGCTGTCTTTGTTAATAACACTTCTAATGATTTGTGTTTGCATCTATTTTCGTATCTCTTAACACACTTGCAAGATACTCAAGGCTGCTTTGGAAAGAGCCCAAGCTCTGGAGTGGGGTGTATTTAAAATAGATGAACCCCTGGTTGTTGCAGATATATCATTGGTATTCATTCAGTTTGCAGGAGTTTTTTTCTCCCTTTCCAAAGTCAGAGGCAGCCTGTGGTGTGCCCAGTCCTCAGAGCACTCTAACAGAGAAGCTCCATCCTTTCCTTTTGCAGGATCTCCAGTTCTCCATTGAATAACTTGTTCTCCACAAGAGCATCACGAATACTAGAGCAAGCAAGGAAAAAAGGAAAGGTCATTCTACAGCTGCAGGGTAAATTAATACAACTATTTGATGTTAAGTTCCCTTTGGCCTGACTACACTTCCCTCATCACTTAGTGAACAGCTCAAAGTGCCCATACCTGGAAGATGTTTGAGATACAGCTTATTTAGACTGTGGAAAACAAAGGGAAAAATTCCCATCATGAAATCTCCTATGACAGCTCCTTGAAAGTCAGCCAGTGACCATAACAAATCCCTTCTCCTGCTCTCAGCTAGGATATTATTCTCCTCTGACTGGGTTTTTGGTGGCCGTGAGCCACACGCTGGGGTCCCTCAGGCCTGATGAATATGAAATTCTCGGGACAGTGATGAAAGCCCCAGCATCTTCTTCCCACAGCAGCACCCCCATGCAAAGCACCTCACCTGGCAATAAGGCTACCACTATCAGCCAGAAAGTCCAGCTCAAGCCTGGCCAGCACTGAGATAAGGCTATTTCACACACAGGTTCTCTGGCCACGCCTGCTTATCAAGGAGCAGACAGCTACACAACTATTACACTCTACTCTGCAAGACTGGAGGATGTCAGAGGCCAGACTCCTCTGGTTTTAAGGGCTACAAGAGTGTGGAAGGCCCAGCCATCTGCAGGATGTCCTTGTTGCTACCTGAGCCAGCACCACCTACTCTTTCACCAGACACCCAGGAGATGCAGCGATCTCAGCTTCCCTGGTGCCTGCCCTTGACACAGCAGGATTATTTGTCTTCAGCCTTACAGTGCATCCTGGAGCACTTTTCCAGAGAGAAGTCTGGGCTAGGACGTGTTCCCAGCCGGGTGTGTCAAAATACTGGTGCTATACTGGTGTGCCAGGGGAGTTCCATGGTCTGAAACACCACTTTCAATTCAGGTTGGGTTTGTTTGTTGTTTTTTTTTTTAAAAACATTTTTTGTCTCAACTGCAGAAAAATAACTTTATATACATATATACATAGCAGTTCTGTGAGCTGTTTTCACACTGAGAAATGAAATGAACATTTTAAAAGATCAAATCTGAGCAAATCTGAGTATTCTTAGTACACACAAATATCACTGCTTTTTATAAACGATAACCTTGATTTCATTAAAAAAAAATATAATTCAGCCCTGGGCTGCATTTCCTTGCGTAGGTGCCAGCATACCTTTCCATGGATGCCTGCCTTTCCTGGCTGAAGCTCTCCAGCACAGCCTCCTGTCTCCTGAGCCAGAGTGAAGCCTGCAGCAGGAGGATGCTCAGCACGAGATGCTTTGCGCGGCTGTCACGCACCACTCGGGGAGCGAGCGGCAGCCTCAGCACAGTGACGTTGCCACCAACTTGCTTGTTTAGAAAAGCTTGGGAATGTCACAACTTGTTACACGGTGGTATCCTTAATCTCCTCGGGAGGCAGTCATAACTTCTGCCTGAGGCGCCCCAGAATTTCCACGAGCACCGGCAGCGCGAAATTAATGATGTGGTTCAGTCTAGGAGGGGTGGCATTCTAATAGTGGGTAGAGGAAGCCTTACATACTGCTAATCTTGGAGGAGTAAATGAACTAGCTCTCATTTGTCACAGGCTTTGAGATATTCCAAGGACATGTTCCATAAAAGACAAATTGTTATTATGTATTCCTGGCAAAATATTGTTTTAATTAATCTCTGTCTTTGATTTTCTGTTTGGGCTACTCTCACAATGGCCTTTTGCTTGCTTTTACTGTAGGTAGTGTGGGCTCACCCACACACTATTTCCTGAACCTGTAGAGAATTATGTCACTGCAAGTCATTGATTGTGTTCCAACTTGGATTCTGCTTTGTGCAGGGTCTAATTAATCCATATTCATACCATAAGGATTTCTCATCTGACTGTGGTTTGATCAGCCAGCAGAGAAATCTAGAGTCCATATCAGTTACATCAGATATTTCCACGAGAAAGTGCAGCTCTCCAATAGCTTTGTGCCCAGGCAATACAGGGTCTAGGCTATCATGAACTATTTTGATGGAAAAAAATGTCACCATTTAAAAAAAACCAACCAAAATAAAAATCCAAAGCAAAATCCCCCCAAAAAACCAAAACCAAACCAAAAAACCCTCTTCAAAAAGCCAGATTAGTTCATATATTTCAGAAACATATCTAAACTTTGTGTTTAAACAAAAATAGTCGTACCTGCTTAATCAAAAACAGTCAGAAGATTTTTTGTATGAAGTGCACTCAGAAGACAAGAGAAGAGACAAGCAAAGAACATAAAGGAATAAGAAGAAAAGCAAAGAAAACCTGCTGTTAAAGATGAGAGAATTTACATGGGTTGTCTAAGTTTTTGTGGTTTCAAGCCCAGTTATTAGAAAAATAAAATAATGTAACCTAGGAAGAAGAGTCTGCATTTCCCTCGTTTATTTTACCCAACCTTTTCGTTGTGCTAATTTGTATTCCAATCAATTAAACTGTTGAATAACAGCGTTTGTCAGGCGGTGTTCAAGTGGCATAAAGTAGTTCAAGGTTTCTCTTGTAATCTAGATCCCTAGCAGGCATTTTTTGGCAAAACCGCAGCTTCAAAATGCACAGTAAGACACAGACTATCCTCTCTCTCATGGCAGGGTTCTGTATACGTGTCACACGTACATTTCATATCAGGATTAATGCCTTTAATATTTTCCCCGTTTTCTCTGCCGAATCCCATCTGCAGGGACGATTACTGGGAGGTTTTTTTTTCACCTAAACACGCTCAAGTTTTGTTCCCATTTCACCCACTGAATTCTGTGCAGCCCAACAAAGCCAGGTTTGGCCTCTCGGCGCCGAGGAACGAAGACACATTTTCACACCAAGCTGCTCTCCAGGGACATACTTTTCTTTGCCTTCCAATTCTTGTGGTCCCCTCTCTCTTCCTCCTTACCGCGGGGCTTTTCGGACAATAAACGAGTGTGGGTCTAAGCTACACCTTTTCTTACACCTTCTGCATGCACAGGGCACGATCTCCCACCGCTTCTGCGCTCCCCCTTCTGGAGTTCTTTCCCCCGTTCCAGCGGGGGAGCGCCTTGCCCTGTCTCTGCCTGCCCAGGCGGGACGAGGCGAGGGGCTCCCGGCTCCGGCGGCTGGGGCAGCGCTCCGAGGGGCTCGGGAACCAGCCGGGATGCAGGCGGGATCCAGCCCCGCGAGGGGCGGGCGGAGG